TGCACTGTGCTATTAGCAGTATTAACATCATTAGTGGCCTCGCATGTGTAAGTTCCAAAGTCCTGATCATTTCTCATTGGCACTTCTACTGTGTTTTTCAGTTCTGTTACTTGCTTTACTACTTTCCCGCTTGGCTTTTTCCATGACAAGGTTGGCGTCGGGGCACCATTTGCCTCACACGTCAATTTAACAGTTTGTCCAATCCAAGATTCGGATTTTACAGGAGAGACCGTCTCTATTGTAGCTGCGTCTGTGAAATATAATCATGCCAACAATCAAAGGCCACGAATATTGCTAAAAGAAAATGTAACGATTAGTAATGCAAGCTGTGTAAACACTCCGTACTTAATATACTGATGTGTGATGTAATATATAAAGCAAGAGACGCAGTGTTTTATCACCACATGAAACACTGAGAGGAGAGTTGAAAATACGACGCTCAGCGAAGTATTTTTGACGAACTTCGAGGTGTTTCATCTTGTGATGAAACACTGTTGAACACTTGATATTACTTCTCAAACAAAATGATTTTAGAAGGAGAAATTAAGGATGTCAAAATGGGCAGTTTTTCATCTGATTTCCAAACACTCATTAAACATTAATTTACTTTGTATTTTCTTTATGAATTACTGATTGTTTTCGTCTTGTGCTTCCTTGTCGAAAAAAGGTACAATAACAACAACAATAATAGGTTTAAATGTTTAAATGATTTTACTGCTGAGACCATAATCCGTCCCACACCACCATGCATCGTGAATTAAAAAATCTTACTCACATTGTACAATAATGAACACCTCACGGATCTTGGTGGCAATACCATTAACAGCACTGCATCTGTAACCTCCTTCATCATGCCTGCTGACGGCCAGGGGAAAGGTAATACGACTGTTATTAGAGAGTCTTGTCCATGTGATGTTTGGAGTTGGATTACCATCAGCTGTACAGTTGAGCATCACTTTATCTCCCTCATTTGCTGTCTGATTATCAGATATGTGTGTGATGGTTGGCGGACCTAACAAAGTCAATAAAGTTAATAAAGACTTAAGGTGATTGGAATGGATGACGCTACATCTTCATTAAACGGTGCTATCGAAAAACTGTCACCACATTTGTACTGGAAAAGGATGAAAGTTTGTTATAACAAGTGTTATAAACGTGTGACTACTGAAATAATACAGCCAGATTTAGCCAGGGTTAAAAGCGAAGCTTCCGTTTATAGCGGAGCTCCACGCACGCGCAAGCGTAGCCCCATACCTAAGAAAATGTGGTAACCTACCCATCCGAGAAATTTTGGTAATCACGTGACCCAACGTCTGACCGACCGACCGTGCCACAGGCATACCAATGTAAAATAACTCAAACAACAGGTATGGCAACCCAAATGTAACTCGAGGTTATTTGGCGGGAAATCGCATGGCCACCCGCGTCTTGTGAAGCAGAGATAACTAAAGAGTCAATAAATATGAAAACGGAAAGCAGAAATCGTTTCTGTATCCGTGTTGTCTAAAGTATTAAGCTTAGGTTATTGTCATGTCCACAAATTTAGAATATAGAGAAAGACAGAGAAAAAGAGAAAGTAGGCGACAGGCCAGCGAAGCTCAACGAGAAAAAGAGCGACAGAGAGCTAGAGCGGGAGATAAAAAAACAAAGGACACATTTTTATAGCGGCGGTAAGACTATGAGAAATGCTAGCGGCCACCAAGGTGAAAATGAGCGGCAGTGAAAAACACATAGACACGTTTTACGTGCAGGAGGTAATTTGAATGCTTCAGTGTAACCGTATCGACAATTTACTGTTTTATTCCTAAATTAAGACTATTTCTTGTGCAAAATTGGGTATTGCTGTATATTAATGAAAACGAGAACCGCTACGCATAGCTGAGTCGATCCTCATACTACAGATTCACTTTTCTTTGTCTTTCCTTCTTTCATCTGGTACAAAATAAACAAATTGTTAACGTACTATGAATATCAACTCACGACACATTGCTTAGAGGGTTGCGAAGGCTTCAAGGTTTCCTCATGGTTTCATAAGATAATGAAGTTCGTCGAATACCGAATAGCTGAGAAATGTCACGATTTTCATCATTTTTGAAGATGGTTGCATCATCATTATTCACGAGGTTTTCGCGTGCGATTCTTCTAAATGAAACAGTTTTTAACTCTGACGATTTTCTTCTTAAAGTATTACGCAACAATGTTGCAACGCTGTGATGAGCTAAAGATTGTTGTTGCGAATCGTGTGGTGCAACGTGATGTTACACGAGACGATTGGAAACGGCGATTTTTAGCGCAACACAGCGTTGCAACATTGTTTCAAATTGTTACAACATTGTTCCAACATTGCAGTGCTGTGTTGTGCTAAAAATCGTCGTTGCGAATCGTAAAGGTGATGTTACACTAGACGATTCGCATTGACGATTTTCAGCGCAACACAGCATTGCAACGTTGTAACCATTCGAAACAATGTCGCAAGAACGCTGTAATGCTGTGTTGGGCTAAAAATTGTTGTTGCGAATAGTTCCGTGCAACATAAACCTTAAACGAGACGATTTACAACGACGATTTTTGGCGCAACACATCGTTGCAACATTGTCGCGACATTGTTTCGAATTGTCACAACATTGGTCCAACATTGCAACGCCGTGTTACCCTAAAAATCGTAGTTGCGAATCGCCCCGTGTAACATCACCTTCCTTTAGCATAACACGATTTTATAATTTGTTTGAGCAAACTATAAACATTATTGAATCTATATATTATGCCTCTAATAAAAGCAACAAACTTTTAGTGGAGCTCTCTCGCGTGCGCGCAGCGGATCCCCATGGGTAAGAAAATCTGGTTACCAATGCATCTGGGAAGTTTTTGTAGTCACGTAACCGTACGTCCCCCCTTTCGCCCGTCCGTCCGCACCACGGGCCCACCAATGTAAAATAACTCAATCAACAGGTATGGCTACCCAAATGCAATTCAAGGTTTTATTTGGCAGGAAATCGCATGGCCGCCGAGACTTTTAGAGAGAAAAAACAACAACAAAGTCAAGTCTTTTTCGACGTTATTTTTGATATTTAAACTCACGTGGATAACAGATAAAGAGCTCAAGCGAGTGATGAAAAACGAAGGAGACGAATTTCGTTGGAAGACAAACATGAAAATTTCATAGCGGCGGTGACATGAAGACAACGACAAAGAAAGAGAGAATTCAAAAAGAAAGAAAATTCAGATTCCTAACAACCGTAGCGAGTAAAAAACCCAAAATAGTACACATCTCCTAACAACCTCTAATTTCATTGGTTCTCCATAACACGAAGCTCCGTTGTTTTGGCGGTAGAGTCATCGTTACATTTCTATGCCTATATTGTTATCACAGCCAATCCCGTCAGGCCTTGTAAAGTAAAAAACTGAAATTTAAGGAATAGTAACTGGTAAAAATGGAAGAGCTCCCCTTTTGGAAAAGAAACATATACACTAGGTGATGAAAATAACCATGGTTACAGCTGTACCTTCAACAATGAGATTTACATAATCATACTGATCCCTTCCCTGGGCACTCCCAGCTCTTAAAATGCAGAGATAAGTGTTCATATCTTCACTCTTGACCGCATTAAATGCAAAGACCACTTGCCCAGACATCAAATCTCCAGTAACACGTCCAGCATAATTTATATTATGCAGGGTTTGCGAGCCACCATTCCTTACAGTTAAGATTTTTCCAGGTGAAGTAAAGTCATTTGCACCACTTTTCTTTATCCCCCACTCAGCTGTAATCGCATCACCAGAAAATTCCCATGTAAAGTTCACGGGCGAGCCTTCTCTACCCTTCATAGTATTTCCTAGATATCGTCTTGTGAATTGTAAACCCGCTAAAACAAAAATAAGAGGATAAGCAACAATTCAGGAAAACAAACAAAACCAACAAATACCAAAACTAGAGCTGGAGCATTCAGTGGCGTATAAGCTAAACAAGCCACTTGCCTACTCCCTGACAAAGCCTTAGAAAAGAGAATGGAAACAGGAAGATATTATACACTACAATTATTCAACGAACGCACGTTGGGTATGAGGTGTGAGAGTGGCTTTGCTATCAAGAAGCTCGTCTCGTCTTCTTTCAAGGCTCGTTGCAAGGTACAAGGCTGCTGTCTAACAAAGTTAGTATTTGGCAGCCATTCGGGCTCCTAAATAAGAAGCTAGGAGACCGAGACATTTCTAGGAGCCCATTGATCGATAAGCTCTAAATTTATTAGGGCATAAATAGTAGCAAAGTTAAGGTTCAGCAAACTTTCAAGGGCCAATCTCCCTTTATTTCTTTTCCTCTACCTTGCCCGGTGTGCCAGAGGAATTTTTTTTAGTTAATTGTATTTCGAGAACGGACCTCTGAAGCCAGAGTACACCAACCTAAGTTTAATCAGTTTACTGGGATGACCATATGGACAGTGTCTGTATCTTCTTCGACCACATCCTCGAAACTCGATTCACGCATCTCGAAACTCGATTTGTTCGAGTTTCGACTTTCGAGTCAATGAATCGACTTACGAGTCTCGAGTTGCAAGAAATCAGCAGTTTTGAATTTTTCTCTCGAAAGGATTTCGAGAAAACTAATTATTTCTCGAGAAAAAATAACATAACCATTCGCATGTTCAGCGGTTTGCACAGACCGACAGCGCTTTATACATGAGCGATATTTTGTTTATTTTTTGATTGACAACAAATTAACAACATCAATACACAGCACAAAGTAAAAGAATAAATAAATAAATAAGTCAGTAAGTAACAAAACAAATTACAATAAAAATACTAGTATTGAAGGATGAAAAGCCTGTCAGTTGCCACACATATTCAATATTGTTTGCCACGATTTTTATGAGCGATATGATGTTAAGTTGAAGTTTTTAGGCAATAAAAAAGGGTGTCAGTAAAACGCGGGGTAAGGGTCAGGGCCAGGGCCGTGGTCTATCTTTTGTTAAAAGAATGCTGTTTTAGGGTTAGGTTTAGTGTCAACCCTAACCCTAAAACAGCATTCTCAAAAAAAGGATATACCCCGACCCCAGCCCCGACCGCGCGTTTAACTGACACCCGATAAAAAGGACCAACCAACGAAAGGGTTTTTATCTTGAATTTTGGACAATCGACTTTCTATTTTTGTATGAAGTTTTTTCTTTTAAACTATAAAAAGTGTGCGATGGGGTAAACAGATTAACATGATCTAAAATAGCCGCAGTGAATCTTTTTTTCAAAAACTGTTATGTTTTTGGCGAGCCTTTCAAAAATTAGCACAACAAAAAAATGAAAAAAGAAAGGAAGGCATAGATAACGCTGAATAAATGATATAAGAAATCTCCGACGGTATTTAAATCAATACATTAAGTGATCTGTATTATTTTTCATTCGCACCACGAGGGATGTGTTAGCTGCAAGCCTCTAAGTTGCCTTAGATTTCTTAGTAATAGCTTTATTTTTTCCTGTTGTATTTCAGTTTTTACAAGATTTTCAAGTTTATAAAATTGTTGGTGCTAGATTGATGCTTGGGGTCTCCGTTTATGAAACATTTCGCGGCGTTAACAAGTACACTACATGAGAAAATTGATTGATGTCAGCTTCCGCTCCACTACAGTAAAAACTTTCTCGAAGTAAACCGATCGATCCGACTGTTCTAACACTGGAAGATCTTACCGCATCAAAATGTTCTGTTCAGAAAGTTCTACAAGATTGCAGTCTAGCAGGATCAGAACTCTCACCGAAAAGAGAAAATATTAAAATGTGCAATTACTGGAAGCTAGAGCAAAGTTCATCCGCTCAGCGTGCGTGGAGGAGACTAGCCTGCGTAGCTGGTGGGATTCGCGGGGGATACTTTCTTAAGGGTTTAGAGCGGGGGGACTACTAAACCGCCAGTCTTTGCTGATCGCGTCTCTTGGCTCGCCAAAGCAAAGATAGTGTATATCATGCTCTTGCCAAAACCTGTGGGCAGTCTGGCCAAAACATCGTTTCCCCAAAGAAAGTTAGGGACTTCTGTCTCCTGCTCTTTATTCAAAACAATCTTTCCTTGTTTTCGGCGGGCATTTAGCGCATTTGAAGACTTCTCGATGAACGCTTTCGCGACAACTATATTCGATATTTCCTGCGTAAGTAAACTAACTTTCCCTTGGAGATAGTAGAGATATCAGTTATCATTGGATTGGCATTTTTTGCTCCTCAGCCAATTAGAAACTCCCGTAAGCCTGGTTGCGGACTATTCAAAATACCCAAGAATTGTGACAGGCAGGATTTCAAATTGACTTGTACCCACTCTTCTCGCGGTTCCGCCGCCAAAACAACACTCCGACGCTAATCCCACCAGCTACGCGGGCTAGGAGTTAGACTGCAGAACAGTCAATTTTTTTCTCAAAATCAGTCAAGAAATCGGCAAAGTGTGGCTTAAGAGTCTCACACGCCCGTAGGACGAGTGAGGCGAGAGAAAAAAAAAAACTGTCCGTTTTCCATACAATGAGTTCATTCCGACCAGGGGGGTTCAAAAATCTCGTCGAGCTGTCAAAAATCTGTTCACAACTCCACCCTCTTTGTGAATTTGATACACTCAGTGATTGATTTCGAGGAAGAATAGCGCGTGTTAATGGCTGCAATTGGCTTTGAATGGTTGTATCCAGTAATTTTAAAGCAACTTTTAGCGTTACTTCTCTGTGAAATGTGGTATGTAAAGTGAAGGAAAAGTGAGTGGAAGTGGCAGTACGCCAACAAAGCCTGTGCCTGCTCCTCGAAGGGGGAGAAAGCCGAAAGAGCCGAGCGCTTCGGATAACTTGTAGAATTTCAAAACACAGTTTGGCAATTTTAAGAGTGGGTGGATAAGCTCGGAAAATGTGTTTGTTGCGCCTACCAGAAAAGGAGAAACGTTACCAAAGTTGGCCCACCTACTGAAAAACGAACTTTTCGTTGTCCTCGAGGAAGGAGAATCTTTCTCCACAAGAGTTTGCTTTCTGTGCTCTCATTCCAATCCACTTCTTTGAGATTTGGCTCTGTAAATCGCTATCCGTGAGAATTTAAAACATCCTGCTAAAAACGCTAACGAGCTGGGCCCAGCGTGACAAAACCTTGCAGGAAAGAGTCACATTCATGGACAAAAAGAAAATTGCTTAGAATTATTCAAATCCAGGAGGCACTTTGGAGAAATTAAACAACCTAAAACTCTTAGTCAGCCGCAATGAAGAACGTTTCATTTCTAAAGAGCCCAAAAAAGAAAATGCTCTTGCATCAGAGGGCAAATCATACTGACCAGTCATGACCTCTCAGTATGAAACATATTTAATAAGCGGCCAAAATTCACAGTTGCTTAGTCAAAACGTTTTCCTCCAAAGCATAATCTACCCGACTAAGAAAACAATTCATTGGAACAGGCAGCATTTTGGCATGAGGAAAAAGTCGTGTGTTGTCTACCAATCCCGCTTTTTTACATAGGCGAGATAACAATGACTGTCGGAACTTGAAGAACTCTTCGTAGCGGAGCTCCACACGCGCGAAGCGCGCGCGTGGGCGGAGCCCCATCGCTAAGGTAATCTACCTATCCCAGAAAATTTGGTAATCACGTGACCGTACAGCGACCGACCGCCCGCCGTCCGTCCGCACCACAGGACAACCAATGTTTACTCTCACACTTTTAGCTAGGGAGCCCACGTGAAAACTAATTGCATATCAATGTTGTGATCAATTGACAGCTGTCAAAACAGGGCATCCGCTGACCAGGATCACCTGACCGTACCGCGGGCTCAAGTGTCCACCCATTGAGGTCGAATATTTTTTTGAAGTTATCCGCTGACAAATTACCACTTTCAAATGATCGCAGGCTCAAGTTTATTTTTTCCAAGGATTCATATCAAATATGTTGTGTTTTTGTCACTATGGCCCCGCACTATTAGGATTTTGATTTCAAACTGGCCTCGGAAGCGAAAATTCAGCCAGTTTTTTTAAAAGTACAGGCAGGGAAGACCTTATCTTACCATGGTCACGCGCTGGTCACGCTCTACGTCCAATTTTTATACTCTGATTGGTCAAAATTTGACAGGTGAGTTCATGCGGACAAATTATGCAGCATCTTGAAAGTTGTTAACTTTGACGGCTGAAGCTGACAGAGTTTTGTGTCAACTTGAGATGTTTTAACTGTCTTTTTCCTCTGGATGTACAAAATGAAATACAGCTGCTATCAAGAGTCTTCTGTTATTCATGGCTGGTTTGTTTACTGGGTTTTTGGTTGAGAAATGCGTCGCTTGTCAAAATTCGGTAATTCGTTTTTGGATGGCATCGTTTTCGTTTTTGACCTTGCTTAATGCGTAAGAGGGTTTAAAAGTCTCAAACAACTGTGGCCTTCCTTGATAGCTTTGAGGAACTGAATCTCAAATGGTAAGCCTGAGTAATTATTGTATTTGATGTTTGTTTTTGTTATATCTAATTTCATGAAGTCTTGCACAGTTCACGCTGACAGTTTATGCGGCAAGTTTATGCACGATTGTAGGATTTGAGTGAATGATCTGACCTAGTATCAGGTTTGATATAAGCTTACGGAACTTTAAAAAGCCTTCAGATATATTTGCTCACCGCAAATAGAAAGAAAACGTTCCGAAGAATATTTAGTCATAAATTTGGCTGTAGAGAGAAAACTTTGAGCGATTTCCTTGCTTCGAGGAGTTCATCTTCGAAAACAGTAAACACCGCGCCGGGAAGCCGGCTTAAGCCGTACGCTTAAAGGCTGAGGATTTTTAGAGACACTTTAATACTTGTCTTCGTGAATGAAAATTGTTGTCTCTGTAAATGTTTCACCGAATTATATTCCTTTTTTTGATTGTTAGTAGTCTCCCTCGCAATTTTAATCGCTTGTCCGTGCCGTTTGTTTTCATCGTTCATGAACACCGCTTGTAGGAGTACTCAAAAATGTCGCGCGTATCAAACGCTTTATAAGATTACACATCGTTATAACTGAAACCATTAAATAACAAAAAAATAATAATAATAATAAATTCGCTATTATGTTGAAGCGTAACTCTATTAAAGTTCATTCAAACACTCGACCACACTGACAGCTCGCACTATAGAAACGAGAACGGTTTCGCTTTAAGCCCATGATTGATCGTTCTGAATATTGACAGAGTGCAATTTGTCTTGAAAAATTGTGAAATACCGTATTCTGTCCGAGGTCTGTATGATAAATAGTATTGTTTCACTTCAAATGTGATGTATAAAAATTATAAAAGGTTGGTTTAAACACCCCCAGATTTGTTGGTAAGAATTTGTAAAGTAAACCTGTTCAACGCAAAAAATTCGGCGTGCTTTGTTTTCCAAGAATTTGTTTTCGAGGCCTAATCTACTGTGATCTTGAATGTGATCGAAGAGGTTTGCTGTTTTTCGGGCGTACATATGAGGTTATCAATTCGATGCAAGATGTTTCACTCTAAAATAACTTAGCCTTTCCCTCAAAAGTCACATGAATGTGCCCTTAAGTTAACCGATTTGTGGATTAAAAGTTTATTGTTTGATTTAAATTATAAATTTCTTAATTGGAGCTTCGCTTTTAGCCCTGGCTAAATCTATATATTATGTACAACCATGTGATAAGTAAGGCTTTTGCCAAATCCGGTTGGTAGGACACAGAAAACATCCTTTCCCCTGAGCAGCAACTCCAAAGCTTCCCTCTGCTCCGATTTTTAAACAAATCCCAATTCTTGCGCGAGCAAATCCAGGCAGTTACCATCCGTCATTTGACAGCGAAAGCTTTTGGAATCTATTCATCACGGTACGGAATATGGCGAATGACTTGTTGAAAACACTACTTGACAGCTTGCTCCGAAATTTAGCCAATGGGAATTGCCCGTGGCTGGGAGAAGCGGGTAATTTGAACGAATATAACGTATGCAAAACGGACAGTCCGTATTTTTAGCGTCTCTCCCCAGTCTCGCTCTCTGTTTTAAGCCTCGTTCCAGACCTTTTTTGTTACTTCCGTGCGTACTTGAATACGCATAAATACGGACTGTTTTGCAGTCTAGCTAGGAGGAGACAGATAAACAACCTTTCTAATCTCCTGGCGGATTCAACCGAAGTGGATGTTTTAAAAAGTGAACGAAAATTGCTCGAAACAGAAATGGAAATCCTAACTGCGACCTCCACACGATCGTTTGAGGCATTAGAAGACAACTATGACGCCAAGAAAGAAGCGTTGATGAAATCCGAGTCCCTTGAACGTGAACATACTGAAACATTGCGAGAGATAAGCGAATAAGTTTCTTCTTCGTTCAGGTTCCAAAGAAAGACCACTATCGCAGCTAATGTCACGAGATTGAAAACAGTATTGGAATTTGCCGACGCTGAAGTGCGAAAAACAACTGCCCTTAAACAACGAGGAAGAACTTAAAAGACTCGCACTAGCGAAACAATTGGCGATGGCAAAGGCCGAAATGGAAATAACAAGGCAGAGAAGTTGAACAGACAAGCTTTCTGTCTCAAAGAGCAGCTGTTGAAGACCTGCTAACTAAATTAGCCGACATTTTGTGCCAACGGCGACTAAAAAAAGACATGCTTCCTTTTCCTGAACCAGAAATCTTCAGGGGTCCTTTTGCACTATCCATGGCTGAAGTCTTTCGAGACTATTAAGAAGGGCAAACAGAGAAAGGGTCGCAACGATTGTACTATCTCGAAAAGTGCACGACCGGCGAACCGGGCCAAGAAAATTCTGACCAATCGATTTGAAAACCCATTTCGCACGATGCCTACAAAAGAAAGATAAATGATTGGCCCAAGATTTCGCCGAACGATGGACCAGGCCTACGGAAGTTTTCAGACTCCCTTATCCACTGCCAGACAGCCGCAAACACGATAGAATACCTAAGGTCCTGATCGATCCAGACGAAAACCCTAAGCTCCCTCGTTACCTTGTTGAGAGTTGACGTTGGGAAGCAGACCGGTAGCTCAATAAGAATGAAGGGGATGAAGCATGTGATGCCACTGATAGCGGCTTCCCTCTTTTCTCGGTATTTTGCCGTTTCGTTCAAAGAGAGTGAAAAATTGCCTGTAATCCTGTAATATCAGTGAGACCGCAGAGAGAGGTCGTCAAATACAATCCAATCAGAGGAAAAAGACAGAACGGTTTTAACAGAAAGAAAACCTGTGAAAACGGCGCCTTTGCAACCGATGCCAAGGAAGAGGCAAACAGCAACGATGGTGAGGAAAGGGAAAAAGAAGTCTGAAGTTGCTCCTTGTGCTTTGTGTAAGAGCCCTCATGACTTTGATACGTGTAAACAATTCATGAAGAAGTCTCCGACTGAGAGAGGGCAGTTCATAAGAGCGAGTGCCTTTGTGTTGGCTGATTGAAGTGGGGGCAGATGAAAAGAAACTGCTGAAGAGGGCAGGTTTGCAAAACGTGTAATGGCTTTCATCCGACCTCTCTTCCAGCGATTTTGTTTCCGGTGAAAACAAGTACAGCAGTAATGCAGATTAATGCCAGAGGCCACCTCACACCTTGTTTATCTCTCTCATAAGAAGAATGCTAATCCATCCTGCATGCTTTCCCTAGTCGTTCCTGTGTAGATACACCACAGAGAGGACACTAGTAGCAAGTTGCTGACCTACGCCCTCTAGGACGACACATCAGAAGCTTGTTTTGTGAGAGAAGATCTCCGAAAATTGGAAGTCAAGCAGTCCTAGCTGAGAAGATGATTGAAAGTGGCTTCACTGAAGATGTGGACATTCCCCTCCCTAAAAGCTATTCAAGATCTTCTCTACCAGCCAGGAAGAACTAGGAAGAGTCAAATTCCAAGACCTGAATCCGCTCTCAACTGGCCACACCTTCGAAAGATTTCAGAGAAGATTATAGCTTTAAATGAAGACGTGGAAGTGGGCAATCCTATTGGTCTTAACTGCTCCCGTGCAAGAAAACCACTGGAAGTGATTCCAGGTGAAGAAGATAACCCCTACGAAAGGAGAACTGCCCTTGGATGGGGGAATCATTGGTGCGATAGGATCGTCGACGTCAGAAGATGCTGAAACTAGGAGCGAAGTTCAAGCAGCCTCAAACAGAAGAGCGTGTCCCTTTACATTGAAGACTTCCGTAAAGAAATGTTCGATGTGTCCAGAATGTTTACCCTTCATTTCAAAGAAGAAGCACACGAGAAGACTCTGTCCGTCGAAGATAGTCCGTGGAGGTATCCATCAACTAGAAGACGGTCACTATGAGATGCCACTGCCTCTGAGAAATGAAAACGTGGAATTACCAAACAGCAAGAAACTAGCTCTCAGTCGCCTTACGCAACTGAAACGAGGGCTCACTAGCGACGCTCAGTTTCCAAAGGATTACTGCACTTCATGGAGGAAATATCTGGTGGTTACGCAGAGAGAGTTCCAGTCCGTGAGACGTCAAAAAAAGACACAAAAATGGCAACAATTTGGCGAAAATGACGTATTTGGCGAAAGTGACAGAAATAACGAACAGTAGCCATATCAAATGAGATGGCAAAGGGTCCCTTTTGGAAGTGGCGATTAGTAGTATAGTATATGGGCTCACGAGCACAGTTTTTTTTTTCGGCTTCTGACAATGGATCTGGAGTATTTTCTTCCCTCTAATCACCCCAATTTGGGATATAAATATAGCCCAAATTGGGGCCATTTGAATACCTTCTTTGTTCAACCATGAGCACAGTTTTTTTATTGACTCCAGACTATGGATCTGGAGTACATGGGCTCACGAGCACAGTTTTTTTTTTTCGGTTCCAGACTATGGATCTGGTGTACATTCTTTCCTCTAATCCCCTTTTTTGGGCTATATTTTTATCCCAAATAGGGGCCATTTAAATGACTTTTATGCTCAACCACGAGCACAGTTTCAAATATTTGACCCCGACCTTGGGATTTTCTCGGAATTTTGGCGCGACCTTGGGATTTTCCTGGAATTTGACCTTGACCTTGGAAAACCGGTTTGGACCAGCTTGAAGCGGTTTTGGGCGATTGACTTTGGGAAATTTTAATTTTTATATACACTAATGGTTAAATATATAATTAATTCATCAGATACTGAACGTGCAAGAGAAATTGCCAAACCAATTTCTGATTTATTGTACAGAGTGAATCCTAGTATACTACGGGATTTAATAAATTATAAAAATGATTTGCTTACACTGGAGGATATTTTAAAAGAACTCGATAAGGAGCTAAAATAAGTTTTATATATTCGGGTTCATGATAGAACCAAAATAATATAAAAATTAGGCAATATGCTCGATGCTAGTAATTTTACCCAGGCATTTATCACAAAAAAAAGCCCATCGAGTAGTTAAAGGCACAGCGTATATGTTCTGCATAGCCTGTTCCAAGCGTTCAGATAGTGGAGAGCGGTGCGGAGTAAAGAGCTTTTATTTTTGTCGCGCTCCTTTTTACTTCGCACCGCTCCCCACTATCTGAACGTCTGGAACAGGCTATGTTCTGCAATGTCCGCACGTTAATTAATTAATTTTTTAATTAATACACTGATTAATACACTGATCACACATATATATATAATAGGTATATAACCAAAAAAGTGGAAAGAAATCCTCATCTAATAATAATAATAATAATTTACATTTATATAGCGCAAACCTCTATATGAATATATTCGGTTGCGCTTTACAATATTGTTATATTAAATTTATGTTAAAGGTGACTAAAGCATGAGCAACTATTAAAAACTACAATAAAAAGTATTAAAAACTATAAATAAAAATAAATAAATAAATAATGATAATAATTAAAAAAAAAAAAAAAAAAAAAAAAAAAAAAAAAAACTATTATAAAAAGCCAACAATTAAATCTATTTAAAAGCTAAATTGAAAAAATGAGTTTTAACAGCAGTCTTAAAAGTGTCCAATGTCTTCATGTTGCGAATTTCCGAAGGTAATGCATTCCAGAGATAAGGTGCAGCTGACTGGAATGCACGATCGCCAAGAGTTGGATGGGTCTTAATGCATGGTAACTCGAGGAATATAGACTCATTTGACCTTAGAGAGTACTTGGATTGCTTTTTGGTAGTAATGAAATCAATTAGATAATTAGGAGCTTGACCATATAAGCACTTAAATGTCAAAAGTAGAATCTTAAACTTTATACGGTAACTTATTGGAAGCCAATGAAGGTGGAAAAGCAATGGTGTAACATGGCAGAATCTAGGTGTTCCGGTGACCAACCGAGCCGCTGCATTCTGTATCCGTTGGAGTTTCATGATATGTGAATTCGGAGGCCATATAGTAGACTGTTACAATAATCTATTCTACTGGTGATAAAAGCATGAACTAATGATTCGGTGACTGAACGACTTAAATATTTCCTAATTCTACGCATGTTATAAAGATAATTGAAAGCGGATGAGCAAGTTTTGTTGATATGACTTAGCATACTCATTTTAGAATCAAACCAAGCTCCTAGGTTTCAACTTCAGAAGATGGAGCAATTTGGGAGTCCCCAACCGATAAGGTACTAATGTTACTGACTTTCTGAAGTTGTTGTCGTGTTCCAATCAGAAGACATTCTGTCTTATCGAATTCAGTTTTAACTTATCCGAATGCATCCATCTACTGATATCAGCAATACATGATTCCATGGCAGTTATAGCAGCGGTCTCCTCCAAATCATTTCCTGATCTAAACGCGATGTACAGTTGCGTGTCATCTGCATAACAATGGGAATTAGGAAGATGTGATTCGACGATCTTAAAAAGTTTACTAGCATAGAGGGAAAACAATAATGGCCCGAGACAGCTGCCTTGTGGAACTCCAAATTTAAGATTAAAATTACTCGATAGAACTCCGTCTATATAGATGCGCTGGGTTCTGTTAGAAAGGTACGATTCAATCCAATTAAGTGCAGAGCCTGAAATTCCAAAATCAAACTGAAGGCGATCTAAGAGAATCCTATGGTCCACGGTATCAAACGCGGCGCTTAAATCAAGAAGCACTAACAACGTGACCTTCTGATTTTCCATGTTCATCAGAATGTCATTCTTGACTTTAAGCAGGGCAGTTTCTGTGCCATGGTGCCGTCGATAGGCTGATTGCAATGAAGGAAAAAGATCATGCTCATTTAAGTAGGACTGAATCTGATCAGCTGCCACTCTTTCAGCCAATTTTGAAACAAAGGAAAGATTGCTGATCGGTCGAAAGTTTTTAAAAACCAAGTCAAGACCTTGTTTTTTTAGCAGTGGTGTAACAATCGACTCTTTCCAAATGTCAGGGAAAAATCCTGATTCAAGCGACAGGTTTATCGTAGTAGATAATATCGGAAGTAACTCATCAAGGCAATCTTTCAAGATATTAGTGGGAACAGGATCAAGTAAACAAGATTTTGATAAAGTGCTCATAGCAGAGCTAGAGCTATGAATAATTATCCTCCAAGAGCTAGGTTATTTGAACATTTACTGCAACTCTGAGTTTCATGTTTCTTGCGAAGCAATCATCAGGCAACTGCCAGAAATAACGGCTACAATCGTATTATCCGGGTGTCCATATTAAGTTAGCTCTCTGGTAAAAAGTCACAGACATGTGATTTATTTGATTTATAGCATAAAGGAACAAGGAGGAAGAAGGGTAGGAAGAATGACTGTAGCAAAAAGCCAAGTGAAACTTGTTGAGTAGGAGGCAGAAAATTTATTAAAGGACTACAGACATGGGAAGAAAGAAAGATGTGCAGATGTTTTGGTCATAAAATCTTATTAACCCGTGAACTTGGTACAATGTCTACAATTGGCACATCATTGTGACAAGAAAAATAGAAAGTGCCTGGGTAACCAGTGTCTGTAAAGCTGGATTAAGAATATAGAGGAATTTCTGACTTGAAACACAGAAAAGATTAACTACTGTGCGTACTAAGCTGGTTAATTTTAAAGAAAAAATGTGAGCTTTTCCTCAGGACAAACAAAACTGCCTGTATGGGTGTCCAATTAAGTGAGTGTCCGTAGATCATAGAGCAACTTTATGCATTGAAAAACTAAATGGTTCAGTACATCACTAGGTTGCACGATTCTGCTGATAACACAGTGTTCCATAAACAATTCACTTGCTTCTAGGAAGAAGTATTACCCAGTGGAAATGATGTTCATCATGGAGGCCCATCCTTTATCGCGCTATGTGGGTTTTCCTAGCTGGTTTTTTTTTCCATTTTAAAATATTATTAGAAACTAGCATTTTAAGAGTTAAAACCCCCAAGAGGGCCTGGGGAGCAGTTTTTCACGTGCGGGGGCCAGTGACCATGAACATTGGGTTGGAGGGGGTGGAAAGCAAATTGGGCTGTTCTCTCTTTGTGGCACTTTAGAACTGTCAGATTACTTAACCTTTGTTGAGTCATTGTTGAGCAGAGTCATGTTTATCAATTTCACAACACTTAATTGAGAACCTTCATCAAAAAACAAGATTATTCCGCATCGTTGCAAATGCTACACAGCCTTGCTGGTTTGAAAATACAGAAATCTAGGACTAAGTGCAGATTTGTTAAGATAGGCCTTTTGAGGCTTACTACACATCAGACTGATGGGATCAAAACAGACCAATAATAAATTTAGATGCTGGAAGATTCTTATTCCAACAAAGATACTATTTATATGAAAATGTACATAAATTATATTACAATGGAACCTACCTCATTATAACAAACATATTTTGCCAGTCCCTTGGCCCTTCGTTATATCGAGGTTCCACTGTGCTTAATTTTATTTACTTCTTTTTCAAAAAGTGGGGCAGCCCCTTCCCCCTGTGCGGGCCCTGCCCTAGGCTGGCTCAGGCTATATAATTACCCCCAAAATAGACTATGCTAAATCAGGCAACAACAACAAAAACAAAAACAATAAAATTGCAGCCTTTACACAGTATTACAGCCCTTTGTTTGTTTAATGTAATCACTGGTATGACTAAAAAGTAATGGATTTCTTTTTTGCACACTGTAAGTAAGACCAAAACTTGTCCTCCAGGTCCTAAACTGCGACCTCACATTTCTCTTGTGATCGACAAGTGTGCAGATCAGTTGTTACACTAGGATGGACAGTGCCTATGTATGTGGGAAGGGGCTATGAAGCTACCTCATTTATAGGAATAACATTAGTCTATCCCAGATTAAAAGACACACCAAGGTTTTTTGAAGCAGCAAGACTGTGCTCCAAGAAAAATTGAAAGGAGCCCAGTGCTCTAAACTTGTGAAATCCTAGGTGTCCAACACATGATTTCTATGAAAAAATTTTCTGGTTGCCCCAGAACAATACTGAAGCACCATGGGCCAACCGGGTGCTGGTAGAGCACAACTTGAGTAATGAAGCATAAAGCGGCACATAACCCTTACTTGCAGTAAATATTTCAGTAACCAAGCCTTGGTGATAATTAATTTTTAACTTGCAATCTGTCAGTCACATCACTTCAGTGATTCAGTGCATGAGTGCCCCGGTGTTGGAATTTATATCTCAAATTATGATATACTCTAATAATGATTATTAGAGTATGTACTCTAATTATTAGAGTATGTACTCTAATAATTAGAGTATGTACTCTAATAATTAGAGTATGTACTCTAATAATTATTAGAGTATGTACTGTAATAATCATTAGAGTATTCTAATAATACTAATAATACTAATAGTACTATAATAGTACTCTAATAATCATTATTAGAGTATATCATAATTTGAGATGTAAATTCCAACACAGGGGCACTCGTGCACTGAATCACTGAAGTGATGTGACTGACAGATTGCAAGTAATTATTGTGATAAGCATTTAATGCCAGAATACAAAACTTTTCTTTATTCACTCAAAAGAATAACAATACACAACATTCAAGATAGGATCAAAATTTTATTTAAAGACCACATCAGTAAATGGTAATAATTCTTGTTGTATTTTACAAAATTTCAAATTAAAATATATACAATTTTAGCATTTTAGTACTCAGCTTTAGTATTTTAGCCAACAATTTGTAACATATTGTATGATTTTTTTATCTACTTAATTATTGTATCTATTATATTTTAACTGTAGGTGTCCCCTATTAGTAGAGGGCCTGCCCCTCGGCTAGTTTTTCTTTCTTGACACATAAATAAAGTTTCTATCTATCTATCTAGTTTTTGCAATAACCTTGTGTCAGCTCGCTGGCTTTAGCTTGTGGTTTGAACTGACAATGTGTCTGTGCAGTTTAAATCAGGCTCTGAGTTTCGCAAAGACTAAAATTGAAAAAAGCATACCTTGTGTTTAGTGAGGGATATTGTGACCAGAATGTTAGCTAATGTTGGAAATACTAAGGAATCACGTTTAGTACAGTATATTTAAAAAATATCGTACCATTCAGATATTTGCACAATGATCCTGATAGATTTTAATATTTTATAATAAGAATTTATAAATAGAACTTTCAAGCTTTTTATAAAAGTTCAAAGGAATGTTAATAGTGGTAACAGAACAAAATAATAGTACACTACAAGAGCAAGGTGTGAGCAATAATCGTGTTTACAAAACCAGAGGGCTCTCTGTGATTTGTTGCCTTACGGCAGAACCTTTTTGAAGGTTTCCTAAAAGTTTCGTAGTCGTCGCGTTCCAGTTGAAAAAGGTCTAAGAAAAAATTTATCTTCGATGACTTCGCGAGAAGTAAAAGCAAAAATCACCACCGGCGATATAAATAAACATAACAATGAGGATTGGGGACATTCACTGCAAGTTTTGCGAAATGTAAGCTTACCTCCACGCGCTCCCTCTTCATGCGAAGATTTCTTTCAGATTCAAGATCTGTTGATTGATCTTTTTTCCATATGCTAGCAAAAGATCCAAGTTTAATTTCCCGCCACTGGTTTGCGTTGAAAGCCCCGGTAAATAATATTGCAGCACTCTTCGAAGTTATTAAACCGAGAAAACAGCGAAACTGTCAGCTGGAAACAAACCTATTCCTCGAATCTCTCATTCAGTTGGTCAGACTCAAGTGCAGCTCAGTTCTATCGACTGAAGCGGTTGCTGCTAACATACGGAGCCTAATGTAGTAAGATCGAAAGAGTTTTCCTAAACAAGAACGCATCGAAGTGGGAGAAAATTAAGGGAACGTTGTTTGCGCAGGGTTCTATTTCAAGAACTGTTCTACGTGAAGAGAATGACGTCACAAACAATTGTCTTGTGTTCTTGGTAACCAGGCCACAGGAACATAGCTTTGTAATGGTGGCTTTTGAGCCCAAAAAAGTACCACTTTCCTTAATCGTATGAAGCTATAATTTGCACACCGTGTACTTCAAGTACTAAACTGCCAATCTAGCGAAAAAAAAATGCTAGTGATGGATTTGATCGTAGTAGCACTTTAAATAAAATTTTTTTCATTGTTGTGTAAGTTTTTGTTGTTACACCTTGATTTGAATAATCGAAAAATACATAACCTTATCTGGTATTATACTATTGTAAAATCGTTCCTCTTATAGAATAAATATATTTATTCGTCATTTGAATTAGTGTTTGTAAATTTACAGCATCTACATCTTACATTGGATTTGGAATATTCAATATTCTTTTATTATTGATATTCAGTGGCACCAGCATTTTCAATTCTGTTTTGCTAATCCCATAAGATTGATGAAAATGGTAGACATTATTGTGAACATAAAATAACGAAATACAGGACCACTACCATCTGTTTTTTTAAACACAAAAGAAACTCTAAAAGCACCTGGCTTCGGGTATAGGCAACCCAGGCTGGCCATATATGTCACAGCCTGAAATAGTGTGCAGCAAAAGCTGGTGGCTTTGCAGCAACGGTAGGTTTTCACAAGGCCAATTCTATTATTTTGTGGATAAAAACCTTCTTCAAAACATTTGCCTGTTTTTTTCAGCATGATTTCAGATTTCAAACAGGTGTTTTTCCTTTCAGATACTCCTCAAAAAAGTAGATGGCATCCATTCAGAGATATTTTTGGGCATATTAATTCTTGCATGTCTTTCATAATAAGTTTTAGTCAGAAATTTAGGTATTTTGTCTTTGGATAGCAATGATTGTCATCTTTCTTTAGTTCACCCACAGTAGACATTATACTAGGTATAACCTATCACTTGAGTGCGAATGAGCAAATCATGCGTATTTTGCATAGGCATGTTTCTTTTTTTCTAACATTTCACATGAGTTTCTTGGTCCCTTCCTGTTGCAAGGATTATTTTCTTGAAAAGGTGTTATGCACGTACAAAGGTTTCAAGAAGAGTCAGTTCTCAGACTCCTGTGGCTGTATGAACCAGCTATAGAAAAGTTTGAAGTGTCATGAGGAATCTTTTTAGAAAGAATAAAATCAGCTTTGCAGGGTGAAGTTTTACTAGTCCTGGGCTAGTGGACTAGCGTTAGTGTCGGGCACTATTTACGAAAGATTAACAAAATACTGCGGCCAAATAAGACAACAGTGCATTTGTTTATATGGTTTACGTGTAGCAGCAACTTTCGCCAATGAGATATCAACAACATCAATTCTTTGTAGCTTTTTTACACAGTCACTTGATTTCTGAAAGAAAGTTGTTTTAAATTTAACAAATTACAGCGGCCAAATAAGACAACAGTTGCCGAAAAGCATCTTCTTGGGTGACAGCACATCACAAATTTGCATCGTGTCAAAACAAGTGTACTTTGAAACCTACTTCTCAGGTACCCTATTTGCATACTACGAAAAGATAGGCTTTTCGGTGCTTCAGTAAACTCACTGGCTTAACCTGTAAAGAAGCTCCATCAACTGATAGGTTTTTAAATATCCAACTTAGATGTTCGCCTGTAGAGTTCTGATGCTAGCGCATCCGTTTGTCCAAAAGAAGCCAAATGCTACAACAGCACTTTTGAACGCGTTGCCGATCGGTCTACGATTCATTTCAGCTCGTAACGTTTAACAAAACCTGCAGGCAGTTACAAGCAAAGCTATCATCTCAAAGTTGTTTTTTTTAAAAAAACTAGTTTTCAATGTGGTGCAGTGGATATAAAGCGACTTTATTAAAAGCATGTTTTACACAAATGCCGAAATGCTGATCCTTCACAAAGCGAATTATACGCCACAGTCTACAGGTAGGTCTACAGGTTGCAGACTGAGGTAAAAATTTGTTTGCGTGTTAGTCACAGTAAAGCTTTACCTCTGATTCTCTAAATCGCTCTAGAATTTTGGCCATGATACTTACAGTGTTTAGGCCATTGTACGCTATGAGAATCGTGTCTTGTGCTACAGGAATCGCATAGCGTGCAACGAGATTTGTGTCTCGCAAGAGGGTGGTAACTTACTTTTGAGCGGTACTGTGCTGTAAAAACATAATTTTCTTTGTGCAATTAAGCAGATAGTTCCTTAGTGTTAATCAGCAATCGCTGTATCCATCATTCCTGCCTTAAGTTTTTTGTAGCTTTTCCCGACAGTGTGTCTTCACTTGAAATAATATCTCCATGCATCCTTTTTATATTTAGGCATTGCCCAAATAGAGTATTCGAGATCGCTTGTTTTGATTCAAAGTTGCAATAGGCACGCAATAGATGTGAGTGTAAACAAGCCAAGTAAACAAGCCAAGCGACACAAAAAACTGCCATGCGATGTGTCATGACGAAGCATTAATCCTCATTACATACGTCTCAAAATGGCAATAGAAAACAATGAAAAGTAAGAGAAATTTGCATCAGATGATAATAATCGATAGTTATCGCTAACAATTGATAAAAAATCATCATCGATTTCTATTGGAAATCGATATTAATCAAAGTCACAACTTTTTTCTTTATCGATTTCAATCGATTGATATCGGAAATCGATATATTCATCAATGATTGATATCGATTACTATCGATTCTCGGTTTATCGATTTACTACATCTGGATGTAAATATGAAAACTTATGCTACAGTCTCAGTCAAAACGTTTGGGACACTTTGCTATCTTCTTGCCCTTCCAATGTTGGTATGCAAGATTTAGTGAATTAACTGCGATAAACAGCATTGGGAGGACAACGACACAGGCCAGAGGTGAAAAAGCAGTGTTGGAGGAAGTGTCCCAACTATTCTTGCCTTAGACTGTACATTAAAAACAAATTGATAAAGGATTGTAGACCAAGGAAATAGAGACACTGTTGGACATCCCGGTAAATTAATAGACCTTTCCCTTTTTTTTGGCAAGTTTAAAAGTAATATGTTTAAAGTGCTGATAGGTGCCCTCAACCAACCAACCCGAGCTATACATCTTTGTTCTTTTTCGACAAATCGCTCTGGAACTTGGTCTAATTATTATTTGTTAGGATCTCTGTTCGGCTCTGTCAATTGGATTTCACTTACTAGTTTACGTTAAAAGTTGAAAAAACCGTGGAAGGGTCTACAATGTATTTGAGGAAGCAATCGACTAACAGAAAAAGAGGAAACCTGACAGTTGAATGTTTGATAGCTTAACCTTGCCAATTCTACTACTATTTGTGCCCTCGAGTTTGTTAAATACAGTGATACATTTGAATCTTAGCAATCAATTAATTCACTGCTTTCATTGGTTAATTTTGGGTCCTATAAATGCAAAATGTAAGCGAAATGACCGTCCCGCTGAGACCATCCTCTTTTCCCCAACTGCAACAAAAGTCTCGTGAGTCGAATGGATCAAAGAAAACCGACAACTGGGAAGGAATGGTCATGACTTGTAGTCAATATAGTCCCTCTTAAATCCCCTTGACTACCTCTGAATTTCAGCTTTATCGACAATCATTTGCAAGTTTTTCAATCAACGAGAAAAGCATTTGTAGAAGTCACCGCAATGCTTGTCAGCATTCCCAACCACACAAACACATCCGTCCGACTAATATTATTTAACATAAATCCAGTCTTGCTTACCTCCCGTTTCAAATCCATGAAGAAGTATGAATAACAAAAACAGGTAATAAATTCCCATTTTCTGACACCACGATTTGGCGAAAAGGAAAGTTCCTGAAAGTGCATAAAAGTTCTCTTTCAGCTGCAGCTGTACGATGGTTAATGCGAGCACCGTTGGAAATTTGGGGACGAGGAAGGAGAGATCCACTGCCCGTTCCGCTGGACAAGGGTAACGAAGGCTTTGGGAATGGGAGTTGTCCAGCCGAATCCAACAACGTCCTACAGTTGTTGAGAGTGAGTTGTCGAGGACGGAGTTAAAACTCGTGATGTTTGGCTTTGGATTTTTGACTGTACTTATTGCAGGATTGACTCAAAAAACCGGTAAAAGTTTTGTGTCCTTCATTTTAAGTTTACTTGCGAAAAGAAGGTGGTTTTCTGTGGTTTAAATGACCTATAGAGAGAGTCATACAAAACGAATACTGACTCTGCCTTACTACATGAAATTTTAGCGACACGTTAATTAAGCGATTGTGAAAAAAGCTTATTTAGAGGGACTTAAAATTAGCGATCTTCGTGAAGTGTGGAACAGGGGTCACTTAATTTTCGCGATTTCACGAGCTGAAACTTTGGCGAGTTAAGGTATTCAAAACTTTTACGACGACAATGGCTAGGAAGTGCGGGCGAAACCGTTTTCATGTGTAGGTGAATGCCCTTTAGGGTATCCGGTCATTTCGTTCCATGGTCAGATCGTTCCAAGTCAGATCGTTCCAATCAGTAGTCAGATCGTTCCACAAAATAGTCAGTTCGTTCCACAAAAAAGTCACTTCGTTCCACATACGTTATATCTATTTTCTAAATGTGTAAATGTTATCAGAGTACAGACTAGCGATAGGAATATGGATGAAAGTATTTTCAGAACTATTTACATAATGTTGCGAGCGCCGTATATGTTAATTTCACTATGCATTGCGGAACGATGGGAGAACTATTCACACAATGGCGAGAGCTTATGTTTGTCGGATTAATCTGTTTGTCGATTTTTGACCACAACACAGAAAATAAAATAAAGTACTACGATGTAAAGTGGTTTTAGATTAAACAGCGAGAGAAACCTACGGGCCTACGGGCGGGCCTACCATAGTGATTCGCTGCAGTCGACGATTTACGATGCACCGGCCCAGTCAACTACGGTAAGTCTTGAACGTTTTTAAAGGGAATTTGAAGTTCGACATGTATCTTTAACACTTAATGTGATTTACTTACATGTTGTGATATTTTCTTTGTTTTCCTATTTCAGGACGCCGCGGAGGACGAACCCTCTCATCGACCTATCTTGGACCCCGCCCGTGATGAATCATCCATCGCTGAACAAACACCAGAACCATCAACCGCTCCATTCGCTTTAACATTTAAGGTCATTGAAGACTCCACCTCTAAAGGCAGACCAAAGCTAATTGACAGCAGGGGATACTGCTATGGTGTCAAACGCCGTCGAGTCAACGCCACTGACTGGATATGCACCAGAAGACCCAAGGTGAATATAATTTCATTTGCTTTTAACTAAAATATTCAAACTACGGAATTGTGCTTTTCCGAAAGCACAATTCGACGATTTACTCCGCACTGGAAATTATTTATTCTTATCAGGCAAACGATAGTGCTTTTCCCGTAGTGTGAATAGGCTCTAATTGTCTTTTGTACTTATCTTTTACCAGGTCAATCCATGCAAAGCAAGTATAATTGAACGGTCCGGCTCATTCCACCTTGGTTCAAACGCCCACAATCACGCAGCAGAAGTCGGCGCAACATTATCCGCTAGCATTACAGCAAAAGTCAAGGCCAAAGCAGCAGTAGATATTTTCAGACCAGCATCCGCCATTGTGGCAGAGGTCCTCCTAGAAGATCTGAAGGACGTCCCCTGTCCGTGTTTACCTAAGCCGGAATACATAGCCCGAGTTGCCAACCGACACCGACAGCGCCTGAGACCCCAAGATCCAACAGACCTTAACTTCGATATAGAGGAAGACCACATTCCAGACGGGTTCCTGCGAGGAGACATACAAGTCCGCCGCCGTAGGCATTTCATGTTCGCAACCAACCAGCAGCTACAACACCTTGCCCGAGCCAAATCTTGGTATATAGACGGCACTTTCAAGCTATGTCGGCACCCGTTCAACCAGCTGATGACCGTGAATGCATAATTCTAGCGCTTCTGGTCGCAAGCGCTTCGAAATACTGTACCTTCAGAACGGCATAGCATTTACTTGTTGTGCTATATCTTTCAAAACCATCAATCGTCTCTAGCTCAAAAGCTCTCATAGCGGCAGTTTAAATGTTAAAGCCCGTGGCTGTTTGAAATCATTTCTTGTTTGTTTTCAAACGACTTGGGATGGATCGAATCAACTTTGGATAAATTATTATTTTATCAGTTTGTGGTATGAACGAAACGTTTTTCTTCTCGATAAAGTTCACTCAACAAATTTAGAAAAATTTACTTGACTTTTCACGTGTGGAACGAACTGACTTTTTTGTGGAACGAACTGACTATTTGGTGGAACGATCTGACTATTGATTGGAACGATCTGACTTGGAACGATCTGACTATGGAACGAAATGACCGTAAATCCCCTTTAGTTATAGTATCAACAAAGGGAATCACTGCGGATCATGAAAACTGGATTGAACAACACTGTAAACAAAACTCATATTTAATTCAACTATTTTATTCGCAGTTGCTTTAAGAGCGGCTTTCCGTAGATATCGACCCACGGTCGGCACAAGTTCAAATTTTGATGTCGCTCATTTTTGGCTCATCGATAACCCTTAATGAGTAGTGAAGCATGCTGTAGTTAGTTTTCCCAAATAACGTGTGTGTTAAAATTCGAGAAAACTCGTAGCCCGTTCGGAGCTCAAAATCCACTTCTGGTAAAGCGAAATTTTACACAAATTTCATTGACTTGTACTTCAAACCGCAACGATTTGGCAGCCTTTGAAAAACACGAATAGTTTTTATGATACTTTCTTTCTTATAAGACGATAAATTTGTCAAAGCTGTAATAATTTTGTAGCCAAAAAGGTACTGTTAAAAATAGGCCCTATTGACAATTTCTACCGTCCAAAATTATAGGGATAAAATGATGCAAATTTTTACAATGCGCTATAACTTATAATTTCGCAAATTGACTCTCTACAGCTTGACTGAGCCCCAGTCTATCAGAAAATCGAAACAAATCTCTGGGCGAACGAGTTAAGTAGTCCGCAAGACCTCGAGTTCAACCCTAATTTTGCGAAAAATCATGACATTCGAGTGGTTAAAAATAGTGTTACACTGCCCATCACGCCAGTGTTACCGATAGATATGCTCTAAACAATTTACTTAAAGGCAGATTAAAAACCATTCGAAATGAAATGTCAAAACCTATTATTCTCCTTGATTATAGCATTTTCTTCAGAAACAATAGCCTGTGAACAGGCCTTTGGTCGAGTGCGGAACTGGGGAGAGGGAAAAGCGAAAAGGCCTGTAGACAAACATTTGGGACCGCCTTTCCACGGTACCCGTTGTGCGTCAGATCCTGATGCAAGCTCCTATTGGCAAGAACACTGACTGTTGACTAGTCTGATTGACATCAGCTTTTCGGTCGGCATGTACCACACGATTTGATCACAAAGTGGCAATAACAAAACAGCCCAAAGACTATTACCAAGGGAGGAACTACGTACTCCAGTCAAAAGACTCTCACTGTTTTAGAAAAACACTAAGCTGGAGTTTACCAAGTCACAATTCAATTCTCCATAGTTGATGTAGCTTCGGTTTAAGCTGCATTTCAATCTTATAATTTTGGATCTGTAAATCACTATCCCTGATAATTTTTAAACAATCTGCAAAGAAAACTAACAAGCTGGGCCCAGCATAATATAACATTGCAGAAAAACATTATATTCACAGACTAAAGAAAACGCTTAGTTATTCAGATCCAGAAGGCATTGTGGAGAAAAGTAAGACCCTTATTCAGCCACGATAAAAAGCTTTACACTTCAAAAGAGGTCAAAGAAAATGCTCTTGCATCAGAGGGCAGATCCTGCCGACCAGAAACAAAAACCACAGTAAACTGATATGTGTGCCGTGACCTCTCAGTGTGAAACAAGAGGCTAAAAAATCACATTTGCTCAGTGAAAGTGTAGAACCTTCCAGAGCATAATCTACCGAGCAGAGGAAAAAACTTATTGGAACAAGCAGCATTTTGGCACGGGTAAAAGTCATGTAGGCCTACCGCTCCCTTTTATTGAGCTATTTTGAACAAATAGCTCATATGTCAGTGGTTTGGGTTTATGTATCTTTGTGGCTTTGTATATGCGGATGTTTGTTGCAGGGGCCAATAAGGCTGAAGGTACTATGAGTTGATGCGTAAGAATCAATGAGATTTTGGCATCTAACCGTTAATGATATTGCTTAAGGTCAAACAAGGGCGCTTAGAGACTGCCATCTTTATTCTTCACAATTTTTACGTCTTTTATTACGGGCTAAAGGTGTTTAGAAGCATAACATTGAAATGTCTTCATGATTCAAATGCTGAGTACAGTGATGGAGCTGTTGAGGGGTGTATATTTTAGTGTGGCTGCTGCTTCAAGACATTTGACCTAATTCGGCTATTGTGAATGGTACAATGCACATATTTCATAATTTATGAGTTCTGTTTCACCTGCTTCAAGGTAGAGTATAAAAGATCATGTATTTTTCCATGGATATTATCCATGATTTTTCAAAGTTCTTCCAATGAAACAATAATTGAAATTTAAGTATGGACTTTAATTCCGAAGTTTGCGGCCTATAAATTGTTGTTTTAGAAGTTTGAAAGGCAAGGTAAGTATTGTTAATCCTGTAAACAAACTTTATTCTCTCGCTTACAAAGTTCAACAGACCTTTTTCATACCACCAAAAAAAATATTAATTAGGTGAGGAACATGATATTGCTTAAGAGTTATTATAGTTATGGAAATGTATTTTATTTTATTAGAAAAGATGCGTAACTTAGTCGAAACAGTAGTGGTCAGGGAATTAAATTGGAAGAAGCTAGTTGACAAAATAATTACATATTGTTTTATTGAGTGGAATATAAACATGATACGAGTAGAAATATATTTTGGCAGTTTGATAATTTTCTTGGAAGTTAATAAATGTTACGCTATCAACCTTGACGTTGCATGAAGGATAGTTTAATTGCAGACGTTGTAATGAAGCCGAGATGATTTCTTAAAATTGTTTGAGAAAATTTACTAGTAAACAATTTACGTTTTCTTTACATGCGAATTGTAAAAGGGCCAAAGTCCAACATCTTCATGTGCAAATTGTGTGCATGAGTTATGACTCGAATTCCCTCACGTATGAACTACAAAAGGGGCAAAGTCCGACACTTTCACGTGCGAACTGTGTGATTCTACATCTCATGCAGACTGGCTTTTCAGAGTAATAATCAGTAACTTGAACGTATGAAGACATCTTTAGTTTGGTAATTATTGCCTAAGCAAAGGCTCTTTTCTTTGAAGAAGTGATAACTTATAACCCTTTTAGAATTAAGTCGTCAGAGTTAAAGACTGTTTCATTAAAGTAGAATCGCATGTGACAACCTTGTGAATAATGATGATGCAACCATCTACAACGATGATGAAAATCGTGACATTTCTTAGCTATTCGGTCTTTGACAAGCTTCATTATTTTAAGAAACCATGAAGAAACCTTGAACCTTCCTGTCTTCCCACTAAGCAACGTTTGGTGAGTTGATATTTATAGTACTTTAACAATTTGTTTATTTTGTACCAGATGTCGGAAAGAAAGACAAAGAAAAGTGAATCTGCAGTATGAGGAACAAATCAGCTATGCGCTGCGGTTCTCGTTTTCATTAATGTACGGCAATACCCGATTTCGCGCTAAACATAAGACGGTAGATTGCCGATACTGTTACACTGAAGCATTCAAAATAGCTTATACACGTAAAACGTGCCCATGTTTGCTATAAATACCCAAAGGTGTAATTCCTGTCGGCGAATGCTGATCTCTTTGTACTTGTTTTCGAAGCTTCACATTCTGGAGAAGTCATGATAGTATCTGTACCTTTCGCATTCCAAGTTCTCTCATTGCAGCGGTTTGTTAAATTAGAAACAAACTAGCAAGACGAACAGCTTGTCGCGCACAAGTAAAGCAGCTTAAATAGAAAAAAGCTTTCTTTTTGCTCAAGGGGAAATCTTCAGGATTCAAATGCTTGCACTAGTACAACACTTTCTTGACCGCTGTCAACCAGCAAGGTCTTATTTCTTGAAACGCCGAAGACTGGCACCATATTAATTCTCTTACCGGAGATCAATCGACAATGAGGCTCACGTTTCATTTCTGTTTTTATCTGTTTTTAACCTGTAAGATTGTTGGGATCGAGCTTTTCTAACAGGTGGCCATCTTGGTTTCAAATGTACCGAGTTTAACATAGGGATGACTTTGAAATCTACTTTTGGGGCAGCAGAGCCAAGAAGGCCGCACATCTGGATGATGTTATGGAAAGATAAGGGACAGTGAACAGACTAATGGCAAACAAACATCCCCCTCGCTATTATTCTAGAAAAATACTGTATCCTTGAAATTAGGTTACTCTGCATTTATAATTGTTGTTTACTTCACTTAGTGCTTTCAATTTTGAGTCTATTCCTTCCATGTCTGGTTTTCTGGTTTTCGCACACAGGGGAGCTTCACTTTAATACTCATTAACATGGACTGGACTGGATTAGAATAACATGGACTGGATTGATATTAACATGAATAAATTAATAAACCCATGTGGATCAATAAAACGTGGATAAAGTAAGAAAGCAAATTAAATTATGTTAAAGCAAGGGAGCTTTCGCTCAGGTCTCTATATGTCTTAACGCACTTGTGCTGCGGCATCTTCTAACTGAAAAAAAACTATATTTTCACAAGCTAATGTTGATACCTGCAGGTATTTGGTTGAGTACATATATTAAAGGTAAGTTTTGCAGGAAATGTTAAGTGTTCTGAAAATGACTGATGCCATTGTTTTCATCAACATTGTGTCATAACTCAGTTCCTCATCGTGGTATAAAGATTTTCTCTTCTCATTGAGTGATTTTCAATAATTATCATGTAAAGGTGTCTGAATCTCGCACATTGGGTGAATATTGCTTTCATATTTAGATC